AATTATCGCTAAAGGGTGTAAACGTATCCTATAGTATAGTTTTGTAGCACTTAATCAACTTTGGCTATGATAAGAAGCGATCCATTGCAACCCCAATGCTTACAAGGTTGCATAAGTAGAAACGTATAGAATAAGCCTAAAACTATATGAATTATGACTAAAATCGCACTCTTTTTTTAGACGAAACATCCTTTTAGTTATTTAATAATACTGTAAAATATTGGTATAAGGGTCAACGACCAGTTCATCGCATTCTAAAAGACTGGATAAGAATTAACGCGTGGAGTGGATTTTGTATTCAAGGCAAAACTAGTCTTTACTGCTTCAGAAAGAATATAACTAGGCAATTCTATGTTAGAATAATAAAGAAGCATTTTTCTGAGATTAAAAGGATGCTATGTAATAATTGGCACCTCCAACAAGATAACAATCCTAAGCATATGAGCAATGTAGCTAAGGATTTTTTACAAAGAAAAGTTTCAGCTGTTATAGACTGACCATCTAACAGTAGCGACTTGAACCTTATAGAAAATTTATGGGCAATTGTTAAATGAAATGTAAAGATACAACAACCACAAAATATTGGGGATTTGGAAAATTTTATGAAGGAGGAATGGTCAAAAATTCCATAGGACATTATTAAAAGTCTAGTTGGTTCAATAAAGGAGAGATGTAAGCTTATAATTGAGAAAAATGGAAAATGCATTCCCTATTAATTTTTTTTTAATAAAATCTCCTGCTTTTTGGCTTTCGAATAAATATTTTACTATGTGATTTAGCGTAGTTGTTATGAAGTTATATTGAAAAATATTTGTTCAAAAACTTTTGCATCAGACTGAATATCAATTAAATCAGAAAAGAAAGGATTTCTTGAAAAAAAAAATTGATAAAATGTTAGAAAAAGAAATCATTCCAACTTCAGAAAGTCTATGAACTTTTCCAATTGTATTTGTACTTAAAAAGACTGGAAATCTTAGAATTTATGTTGATTATTGCTCATTAAATTCTGTAACAGTTACTGATCGATATCCAATATCAAATATGCAAAATCAATTAGAGAACTTTTGAACTGCTAGATACTTTACTGCCTTAAACTTAGCTAGCGGATATTGGCAAGTAAAGATGTATTTAAATGATCAAGTAAAAATAACTTTTATTATACCTTCAGGACTTTATGAATATAAAGTAATGCTTTTTGGTCTGAAAAATATACCTGCTACTTTTTAAAGACTAATGAATAGAGTTCTATTCAGTTGATTGAAAAATTTTGTGTTGTTTATTTAGATGACATTATTATTTATTTAACTACTTTTCAAGATCATTATAATCATATGTAACAAGTTATTGCTAAATTAAAAGAAGCAGAATTAAAAATCAAACTGGAAAAATGCACATTTGTGATAAATTAAGTTAATTATTTAGATCCAAACTATGATTAATTTACCTATACCAAGAAATTCAAAAGAAGTACAAATGATATTAGAAATCTTTTCTTATTATTGATAATTTATCCAAGATTTTGTAAAATTGTAGGATCTTTTCATAACCTGACTAAAAGAAGTATACCTTAAAATTTGACAATACAGCATCAGGATTTATTCGACAAATTAAAATTTAAAATGATTATAGTTTTAGTACTTATTCAACCTGACCTAAGTAAAGCTTTTATCATTCAAATAGATGCTTTAGATGAAGAATTAGAAGTTGTACTTATTCAAAAAAATGATCAGAGACTTAAACATTCAATAGCCTATACAAGTAGAAAATTATCTGACTTAAAGCTAAAATATATTACCACTGAAAAAGAATATCTTGCAGTCTGATGTGCTATCGAGCATTTTAATCACTATCTCTATTATCAACCCTTTGAAGTAATGACTGATTATTCTGCATTAAATTAGTTATTAACAACTAAACACGTAAAAAGATGAGTAGCCAAATAGGTTTTATTCTTATAAGCCTATAATTTTACTATTAAATATCATCCAGAAAATAAGAATCAAAATGCAGATACATTCTCACGAATAATTCCTGTTCATATGACTTTAACAGAAGAGTAAAACAAGAATTAACTATTAGTTCTAAATGGATCTAAGTACATTTTTTAGCTCTAGATGTATCAGAATATTAAACTAAATAAATTAATGAATAATCGTTAATATAGAAGAAATTCTTATTTTTGCAATAAAATTGATTAATATTTATATTAGAATTGCATTTTCTGCTTTCAATATGCAAATTCTTATAAAAATTATATATCTTCTCCCAATGAATATACTTTGTGTAAATGCAATGAATATTATTAAGAGTTTTCTGATTATGTTAAAGAAGATAATTGTCAAGAAAATGACTATTCAAATGAAGATTCATAATTGCAAGGAAATGATAATAAATCTGAATATTATTTAAGTCAAGAAGACCTTGAATCTATACTTGATGAAAAGAGAAAGATTGGAGACAAGATATATATAATATATATTTCAAGCTGCAAAATTTAAACAAATCATTGTTAAGCAAATGCAAGATCATTTGTGAAGCAAGACTATTCTGTTAGTTACACATTTTATAAAAAATTTATTACTATAGATCTCAAATATAATTGCATTGTTAAATATAAATTTAGTCAAATCCATTCTGAAATGATTTCTGAAACCTTGACAAATAAAATCTTTTGAACTATTTCTGAAAAAGTACAACAACATAATGAAACTTATCATGCTGCAATTGAATTACTACAACTATCTTGTAATCCTCAAATTTCTGAAAATTGACTGAAGATGAACTAAATGAATTGTTTATTCTTATACTAACTATTACCCTAGTTATTTTATCAAATTTTAATGAAACTCAAAGTTGTATATCTAGCCCTGAATTAGATTTTTAAAAATATCATTAAATTTTTATCACTCCCATATTATCATTTTAATTATATTTTATTATATTTTTTTTGTATAATTTTAAAGAGTTAACACCTAGTTGAATAACACTAATGAGTGAAAGTCTCAAGATTATCTTAATTGAGTAAAAGCAAAAGTGTAAGCATTGTGACTTACAGTTCAATTAATCATTATAGATATATAACAATATTTTGAACTTAAACAATACTTAAATTACAATAAATTTTCTAACCACATTTAATCTAATAAAAACAAAAAAAGTTTACAAGTATACCCAAATATTTTATAATTAAGAATGCAAATTTATATCATTTTGATTGAAGAAAACCTAGACATTCATTATAAGTTCTCAAAAGATATAAATTAAAACTTATTCTATACATGATGCATAATGATTCTACGGCTAAACATTTCAAACAGAAAATTATATTTAATAAGATTAAGACTTGATATTATTGATTTCAAATGTACAAAGATGTTAAAGAATATATAAAAACTTGTAATTCTTGCTAACGAAAAGAAAGACTAAATAAGAATAATGAATTATATCCAATACCTTCTCATAGCACTTTCTACCAGATTAGAATAGATTTTATTAGTCTTTTATCAGTAACTCTTAAAGAAAATAGATATATTATCATCGCTGTAGATATATTTATTAAATAACCAGAAGTAAGAGCTATTACAAATACTGGTCGAAATCAAAAAAATCAGACATGTGAAAATCAGCCTAAAATCAGCCTAAATTCAGCCTAAATTTAGCAA